AGCTATTTGTCTCTTAGCTATGTTGCAGTGAGTTGCTAAGTTTTAATGTGCAGCAACTATCAAGGTATAAATTTCACATAGATACAAGACAACTATGTCCAAAGGGATCAGAGGTAAAGACTACTGATGCTAGCTGAACTCATGGGATAGGACGGTGTCTTGTGGGACACATGCTGGCTTATGGATCAGCTCTGGCTCTGCATTTTGGTCATAAAAGTCCATACGGAGTGAATTTGCAGGCATGAGAAATGCCTCTGTATGTGAAACCAGAAACCAGATCAAAGAAAGGATAGGTCGGTACTGAGAGGCAGAATGTAAAACTCTCCCAAGAATACATAACGTCTGGAGTCCCTCAGTCCTGTGGATTCACAAGAACAGAAAAATTCAGAACATCAAGTTTCTAAAGTCTGTCAAGCTCACCAGCACATCATCATACCAGGTAACCGTCAGTGTGTGTCTGAGTGTGAATGCATTAATTGTGCTCAACTGTGCATAGCTATCTGCTATTAACAATACAGCTTAATTCTATTAACAGTTTTACAAGTGAAAGGTGGTCACTAAACATTGACTGTGATTTTTTTCTCTCCTGACTTGAACACCTATTGGGAAAATTTACAATTCTAGTCATTAAATCATTCTGTCCTTGCTCGACTCTCTAGGACTAGCACAGGCTCATCAGTGGTTGCCTGCTGGAGTTCCATCTGTACCTCACTTGACCAATAAATATTCCACTAAAATTGCTCATTCCTCCTTCACTCACCTGCATACCTTGCATCTTGTTGATCACAGGTTAGGGAAATCAGATTTTGCATATCCACAGGGCAGAGTCCATTGTCAAGTACCAGGTGAAAATGCTAAATGGCCACTATAGAGTAAGGCCTTTTTGTCTACTCTACAGTAATCTTCTCTTGTTTCTACCGCAAAAATATGATTTATTCAGAAGGCCTGTTGGGGTAATTCCTGAAATACGGAACAAGGGATTTAAGGGGACAAATACAGTCATCAAATCTACACTTGTGTTAACTGAAGGAAACATGCCCAGTAGTTCCCTTCAGTGATTACAATCTGGGTCATTACTAGAAAAGTTTAAAACCAGAAAGTTTCTTTCTGTTATCATTTTAATTGGAAGATTATTCCAGGATGTCAGTTTTCTGATTGCTAGAAGCCTCTTTATGACATCCAGTCTTACATGTCTCCACAGCAACTCTATACTTTTCTTCACATTATACAGTTGTTGTTCCAGTTACTGTTAACCCATCTCAAAATACTTAGAAGTGGGTTTTTTTGTCAGACTAACAATATTTGTAAGTCTCTTCATCCTTTGACTGTAAGATGGACTTTGTATTCATCTAATCAACACTGAAGACCTTCTTTGTACTGTTCCAATTCTAGTGCATCATTTTGGTGAGCAAAGTATTGTGTTCAGTTTCTTGAACAAAATATCTGAGTCATTCTGCTGCTTGCTGTTTGATGTTCATAGAAACATAGCATCATATTAGTTTGAAAAAACGTTCAAGATCATCAAGTCCAGTCATTAACCTAGCACTAAAGCATGGTCCTAAGTGCCGCATCTACACATCTTTGAAATAAATTCATGGGTGGTGACCTCACTACTTCCTGGGGAGCCTGGCTCAGTGCTTGACAAACCTTTCAGTGAAGAAATTTTTCCTACTATCTCACCTGAATCTTCTCTTGTACAACTTGAGGCCATTTCCTCTCATCCTGTCACTAGTTACTTGGGAGAAGACATTGACCCCCACCTCATTACAACCTCCTTTCAGGTAGTTGTAGAGACCAATAAGGTCACCTCCTTTTCTCCAGGCTAAACACCCTCAGCTCCCTCAGCCGCTCCACAAAGGACTCGTACTCCATCCTCTTCCTCACCTCCACTGCCCTTCTCTGTACTCAATTCAGCACTTCTGTCCTCATTGTAGTGAGGAGCCCAGAACTGAACACAAGATTTAAGGTGCAGCCTCACCAGTGCAGAGTACAGGGGGATGATTGCTGCCCTGGTCCTGCTGGCCACATTAGTTCTGATACAAGCTAGGATGCCATTGGCCTTCTCGGTCACCTGGGCACACACCTGGCTCATGCTCAGCCTGTTGTTGACCAGCATCCACGGGTCTTTTTCTGTTGGGCAGCAGACATCTCCTGACGTCTTGGATCTCCTCTCCCCATAGATTCCCTGTGTCTACCTGATAGACAGTAAGCAGTACCTCAGCACTGGGCCAGGACAGCTGAGATCCCTATTCCCATTCTCTCCCACCCCTCTAACTATGCCTCACCTCTGTTTCTCAGAAGATGTTTTCCATGTTTCCTTTCCCAGTCTCTAGAAGGGTCTGCATTGCCTTCTTTGTGCTTATCCTGCATCAATGTGCATGCCTGGAATCCTGCAAAGACCGCTGTGTAGTCCAGGTGATCCAGAGGAGCTTGTTAATGTATTTTTAACCATCTCCACTACAAATGCTTCCTAAGAGATCTTCCATAAGGCAGGACTGTATTCACAGATGTTGAAAACTCTTTTAGAATGTTTTTTGCAGACTACAAGGAGGGACTTGACTTCCTACTCTGTATACTTCATATTCATGTCCATGGGCAGGGCTCCCCCATACTGCCATGGGGATGAATCCTGGCAGGGGTGAAGAATATCAGGGAGCTATTCATCTGCAGGAGAGAGAGATGGAAGGGACCCTGTGTGTACCCTAACACTGCACAATAAGCAAGTAAACTCAAGCACTTCACCTCTGTCCGTAGCTCAGGTGCTGGTTCAATCTCTAGCTTTGCTTTGGGACGCTTCAAGGGAAATACGATATAGAGGGAAATAATCCTTTGCAGTGGGCGTGCAAGTTAGTCTGTGCCACTTGACACCAAAACCAGGAATCAGTCCCTGACCAACTTTTATTTAGAACAGTAGACGATATTTGTGCTGACTGCTTCAAAGATGAGATGAGCCTCTAACCACATCCTTTGCTGTTTGCTCCAGGAGACGAAAGCCCCAGAGTCTCCATGGTATTTGCTCTCTTAGGTGAGTCTGTGTGAAAGCAGTCCCTACACAACTCCCAGTTGTGGGGTCCTGCAGCATGAGTCTTTCAACTACTCTTAGAGCACATTCCATGAATGGTACCAACACAGCTGGCTTCAAAGCCATGTTGCAAGAACATTCTTATACCTGTCAGTTCCCTATGCTACAATTCTTTGCAAATGCAAAGTGGATGGACTGAGGAGCATCAGGAGATAGAACTCTCTCTTCTACCCTACTAATCTTTCACTACACCTATGATATAAACTGGACATTTCCTCATGAAACAAGGGTTTCATTCATCTGAAGAAGGAGTAGAATTTCTGGATATCTAGGCCAAGATGTTATGCTTAATGAACACAGTCCTGGATTTTCTTCCGCTATCTGTGCAATAATGGCATCCCAGAATGCCCCTCTATCCAGACAAAGGACACCAGAAGTAATTATGGTCTCTGCAATGGTAACCAATGGGTTACTTTTCCATATAGGAACATTCCGGGTCCAAGTGGAGTGATAAGATACCCTTAAGGTCCTTCACAAACATTGCTAGATAGATAAGGCTAGATGACAGATGTAGGATCATGCTGCTATTGAATTTGTCTTTACATAGATCTATTCTCGTCATTCAACTAGAAGCACGTCCTGTTGTCACAAGACTTATTCAGGACTTGTTAAAGTTATCATGGGTAGCTTTTAGGTAAGCCCTCATGCCCACTGGGCACAGGGAATCCATGCTAGCAGTCTCAACCCAAGCGATTACTGAACTAGAGGACAACTCTGTCTGCAATAGGAAAGAGAACAAAAGGGGAGTACCAGAGTGTTCCCACCTGTGAACGCTGGCTTCTAACATCTGTAGGCACTGGCACATACCTGGTTACTTGGACAAAGTGACCATGAAAGAGGGTCTGGTCATCAAGGACCTACATGCTGGGAAAGAGATCTTACTCTTAGACTTCCTGGAATGGGTTTAAAATGTCAGTGGTTGTCATTGGGTTGGTGATCACTAATCAGCATGGAAGAGTGCTAAGTGAAAGCACTGAATCTTGGTACAACAACAGACAGTATAATGGATAGCTTGTCTGTCTCTCATTAGCACACCTGTAGTGCATTTTTCCTCACCCTTACCTGATTTCCAATGGATTGGCAGTGACTTTCTGATTTTAAGAGGCCTGTATCAGGGACCAGGAGCAGGATGCCCTGCAAGGGAAGGTGACAGGAACTGATTACTAACAGCAAGGGGTGCAGTTCATAGTACCTGAACAAAAAAAGCAAACAGAATAGGTCCAGTGACTGCAGCCAGGTTAAGCCAGCCCAGGCAATCCAGACAAAACCATAGTAAGATGATAGTCCAAGATCAAGCCATAAAGTCAAGTCAGCAGATCAGGGTCAGTATCAGCAAAGTTCACGGCCAGACCCAAGCTTGGCCACCCTTTAGCTCTAGTGGAGGTCAAAGGCAAGTGTCTGAGCTTCTGAGCAACTCGTGGGCAAGGAATGGGCAGCCTCTGCCTAGTCTTCTCTTTGCTCTTCCTCATGCAGCTCTTTCTGCAGCAGTCTGGCCCAAGCTTACACTGATGCCAGCTCATACTGATCTTGTACAAGCAGACAAAGCCCAGAAAGCAGGGGAAAAGGATTCAGAGGTTGGTGTTCTAATGACTCAACAGCTTGGATGTTACTGAACTTGGGATTCTGATAAACAGCAGGTAGATGCCCTCAGACACAAGGAGTATGCATGTCAGCATCTTAAAGAGGAGTGTATGTTTAGACTGGTGTAAACAAATAGCACTCTGCAACTTGTTCCAGTTGCCAGAATAAGTAGAGTAGCCACAGTTGAAATAACCACTCTATGTACTGCTATGCTTGTGCCACCAATGTTGGGCCCATAGTAAAACAAATCCCAGGATGACATCATAAGTGCAGTCATCCTTCATATAAGGTCACAAGCACACTTTTCGAATTTTATTGGCGGTTTCGGTTCTTTCAGATTTGAGATTAATCTGTTGATAGTGTCTAAAAAGGTGAACAATATTCCTATTGGTTCCTTCACATACTTCATGCGAGCACGTGAATCTATATATTTCCTCCTTTGCAGTCATTTGTGAGACACGGGAAAGCCCATGCAGAGTTTGATCTAGGCAGTGCCTAAAGAGTGAACTTGCATCTATCTGCAATGAGGATGGCAACAAAAGGTCATCTTTCTGCACCAGTGTTATGGTTGCTTCTCCTCTCCATTCAAGTCTCCCTAGGTAAGTATATACTTTATTTCACATAAGGTAATTAGCTAGGAAAATTATGTAAATTGAATATAAATAGGTTGCTATGCTATCAACCTGTAAGGAAAAGTGATGAGAAGGTGTTTAAACATGTTTCTATCTTTGATTCAATCTCCTTGGTGATCCTGAGATAAAGAAGAGTAAGCCATTTGTAGAAGTTTTGTATTTCACTCAGATATCGGTGACTGGTCATTCTCATAGGAATTTGAGTCCAAGTTTTGCAAACAGTTAAACTGTACTGGAAACCAGATGGGTATTCTTACTGCTGTCTTGCCTCTCCTGTTGAGCTCTGTGTAGATAGAATTAATAACTCCAGGCCTTTGTTCAACATCACCTAAAATGATGTAGCTGTGCTTCAAGAGAAGTTGTGGATGGCCCATCCCTGGAAGCATTCAAGGACAGGTTAGATGGGGCTTTGAGCAACCTGGTCTAGTGGAAGGTCATCGCTGCCCATGGTAGGGTGGTTAAAACTAGATGACCTTTAAGGCCCCTTCCAAACCGTTCTATGACTCTATGTTTTCCTCTCTGGCTGATCAGAAGAAAAGTCTATCAGTGGGAAATATGCAGACACATACAGTTTGGATTCCTCTAGACACTCAGAGCCCATCCAGTATCTGGTCCAGGATCGTCAGTCTCTGTAGTAGCCTCATGCACTGACACACATGCAAATGGGTCTTTGAGTTGACACCTTGACCTTATCATCTCTCCAGTAGTTGGCCTGGACCCTCTGGTTCCTCTGGTAGCCAGTTCCTCCAGCTGCAAGGACACTTGCAAAGACGCATATACATATTTGGCTCACAGGCCAATCAGCTTACAGGATAATCCAGCTAGATATACACTAGCAGTCACACACTAACATGCAGTACCTTCACCTACTCCAGTTGCTGGTGTCTGCTGTGCAGACACCATGATTCTTCGTGAATCACACAGCAAGGACATTACTCAGCATTTCCCAGCCCTGATAAGTCAGAAGAAGAGAAAGTTTGCCTGTTATTAGAAATAACTTACATTTTAGCAGTGCAATTAGCTCAAACTTGTAAATACAGACACACATCCTTGAAAAAAAAATCCCTATAAGATGGATTATTTAGAAAGGTGAACTGAACAAGTCCAAAGTAAGAGTAAATCAAGAGCAATAACAATCTCATTAACTCTCTTCAATAGATAACCATGATTAGGCACTGTCTTTCCCATAACCTTGCTCTGTCTGTGTGTACGCAGGTACTGATGAATTGCGGCTCTCAAACGGAACTGGCCCCTGCTCTGGGAGAGTGGAAATAAAACATAAAGGGCAGTGGGGAACTGTGTGTGATGGTGACTGGACTATACAAGATGCTGAGGTTGTTTGCAAGCAAGTACAATGTGGATCCGCTGTTCAGGCCCTTAATCGAGCTCCTTTTGGAGAAGGAACTGGGCCAACATGGTTGTATCGACTTGATTGCCAGGGTGATGAATCTGCTCTCTGGAACTGCACACATGCAGGATGGGATGCTTTTACCTGCCCCCATTACTTTGATGTCGGGGTGGCCTGCTCAGGTAAGAAGTCATCCAGCCTTGTATAATAGAAAACAAAGACACAAGACTGGGATCTAACTTTGTCCTGACTGAACAAAGCCAAGTACTGCCTCTACCCAGTCAAAGCACGTTGCACCAGCATTAATTCTTCTGCTGACTACAAATGCAGGTCTCCTTTGCCTGGGCACGGCAATGACATAGAATGGACATATTGAATGACGTAGAACAGGAAAACAAAACACTATTTGTTTCTATCACAGCTCTCCCAGGCAACAGGAGAGCAGTACTAAACCTGTCTTTAACTGTGAATGGGGGCTGAAAAAACAGGTGCAGTTGGAGAAGCAACAAAATGCTGTTTTGTGCCATGAAACTACCCTTCCTCTCCAGATCATCACAAAACCTAAGACAGGACAGTCTGCAATGGCAAGCAAATCCCACACCTGTTTGGAGATGTGCTTGGTTTTGCTCTTTGAATAAAGTACCATTGCAAGAGGTTTTTCCTGCCCAGCTTCAGGACTTTACATTTGTCCATTTCGATTTTTATAAGGTTCCTGTCAGCCCATTAATTCAGCCTGTCTAGATGTCTCTCAATGGCAACTCCCCACCCACAAAATTATAAGAGTGTGCTCCATCACCTCCTCCAGGTTGCTGGTAAACACATTGAGAAGAACAGGCCCCAATAAGTTGTATTCCACTTGCTGCCAGCCTCCAAGTAGAGCACAACTCACTAATCACTACTCTGAACTACTCGGAACACTACTACTGAACCTGACTATCCAATCAGTTGTTTGATCATGTTGTTCTCCTATCGCAACTCTAATATCCTAGTTTTTGGACATAAGAATATTGTGCAAGACAGTATCAATGGCCTTGCTAAATGTAAGGTAAATGACATGCATTCCTGTCCCCTCATCCATAAATGTATTTTTATCAGAGAAAGCAATCAGGTCCCATAGCCATGACACACCCTTGGTAAATCCATGCTGACTCTTCCCATTCATCTTCTTGTACCCAGAAATGTGTTCCAGGAGGCCTCATTCCATAATTATCACAGGTATCAAAGTGAGGTTGATCAGCCTGTAGATCTCCAGACTGTCTTTTTAGCCTTTTCTGAAGATGGGTGCAACATTTCCTGTTTCCTCTTCCTGGGGCGCTTCAGCTTCCTAATCATTTGAATAATGAAGACTTGAGGACACACACTAGAAAATGGCTATTTATTTATTTATCTATTCAGGGATTGCTACTTCTCAGTCATTAGTAGATGTTCAAAGCTTCCCTCTTTCTGTATCTTCCCAAGGATTTAGCATTGTCACATACTAAGAAATAACCAACCTCAGACAACATTTTATTTCTTGTCAGTGGCATACAGGAATTGCCCCAATCATTATTTAAATCTATCAGTAAAGTGACATGTGTCTTGCCCATTAAGGTACAGGAGTTATGGAATTTGATGAGTACAATCAACCCTTTATTTGGATTTCTTGTGTGGTTTTTTTCAGGCTTCTCTGATCTACGTCTAACTGGAGGAGACACTGCCTGCTCAGGACGACTGAAAGTAAAGCAAGAAGAAACTTGGGCTACTGTCTGTTTTTCACACATTGATTTCAAAACTGCCTCTGTTATATGTAATGAGTTAGAGTGTGGCCAGGCTGTGGATACCTTGAAAGGAACTCACTTTGAAGACAGACATGAACTGATCTGGCAAGAAGAGTTTCACTGTGCAGGGAATGAGACTCACCTTGCACACTGTCCCAGGATGCTTCACCATAATAACACATGCTCTCATGATGCCACTGTTGTATGTTCAGGTGAGACTTTAGACTGACGGATTTAATTTACATGTGTCCTATGTCTTCTTCCTGTCAACACACAGTTCAGAGCCCCTGATTATTTCTGTGGATTCTTGGGTGTTTCCCCTATCATGCACTGAGCCGTTCAAGGGAGGCCAGGAAGTAACATTGAGCAGCCCCACGATCTCATTCACTTTACTGAGTCTGAGTTTAAAATGGGCTGTTCCAACTACTTCACTACTGTACCAGATGCCAACCTCAAAACTGCTCTCATTTCTTTTGTGCTGTTAGAGATATGCACTCAATAGTGCTGAGAATACTTTACATGTCTTTCTCTTATAATGAAAAGGAGAAATGGTCAGAGCAGACAAGCAGGAACATGGAGAGACAAATCTATTTTCTGTCGTGCCAGTGTGTATGCTAATCCCTGGCACTTCAGGGAATTACAAAACTGAGAGAGGTACCATACTTCCAAAAGGTTGAAAGAGGCACAAGTTACAAATGAAAGTTATATAAAACCCAAAACTTGTCAGAGGCCTGGATTACTTTAGTTGTGACTGCCGAGTAACATTATTTGAGAATTCCATACAGACATGGCTGCTGGGAGCTCTAAATACAGCTAACATATTGCCACCCACTACAAAAGTGAAGACTAGACCTAGTAAAACCAACCTTTTTTCCTGAGGCCACAAATCAAAAAGGGTAAACTAAACATGGGGCAGAGATGCTGACAAAACCCTGTCACAAAAACAAGCCTGGAAAAGGACTGCCTGTTTCTCAGTCAAAGGGCTGCAGTCTGCTTCAAGACTGCCTTGTGCACTGTCCCGCTAGCCATGGTTCCCTGGAGCACTGACTGGGGGCTTGTGGCAGCCAAACAGCCCAGCAGCAGGTTTTGGCTCCCGCACTCAAGTTGCAAGTGTCTCAGCTCAGAGCAGAAATCCAGGTCTCATTAGGGGTACAATGCAAGGAGCAGGTAAGGGTAGGAAGTAACAGCATGGCAAGACAGAAGGACTGCATGGGGCTGGCAGTACGACACCATTGTCCTTCCCGTGCTTACTTTATTGGCTAACATGCTGATGGATATGGCCTGTTGTGTTCAGAGCTTATGCTGGGGCATGGATGAAAGCTGAGAACTGCACACTGCAGTTGCTGCCTACTGGGAAACGTGACATGATCAACTACTGTGAGAGAGAGTGCTACCCATAGCTCCTACTCTTGAGTTTCTCATGTGCTCCAAATGCAAGGCAGTGCTGGAACTGTCTCTGCAAGAAAAGACATTGCATGGTAGCATCAGTATTGTCGGGGGAGGAGAGAGAAGAGGAGGAGAAACTGAACTTAAAAAGTCAAAAGACTTTGTCATGCAGTGCAGGCTACATGGACACAAACGACTTCTTTTTTTTCTAATAGCTGGCTTATCAGCATCATGGTATAATGTGCTTCCCAGTAACCTGTGACATAGTGAGTGCTAGTTCCTTGCAGCTAGCTTCTTGCAGCTAGATCTCTCTTACAATTTTCAATGCAATAGCACACAAAATAAAATCCCCAAAGTAGCTACTAAGTTGCTTTATTCTTCCTGCAGGCTATGGTGGGTACAGGCTGGCAAATGGCAGTACCGCATGTTCAGGGAGAGTAGAGCTTCTTCATGGAGGCACATGGGGAACCCTGTGTGACTACCTGTGGGATTTACCAGCCGCCGATATCCTCTGTCAGCAGCTAGACTGTGGATTTGCCCTACTGATACCTGGTGGACAGTCTTTTGGACAAGGAAATGGAACAGTCTGGAATGGCACATTCAGTTGCAACAAGAATGACTCATCCCTGAGAGACTGCCCTGTGAGTGCACTAGGTCATGATGAATGCCCTGCTGAAAAAGATGCTCGTGTCATATGTTCAGGTAAGCAGTGGAAAGGTCTAAGAGAAGAACTGGAAAAAAATTCCTTCTTTGAGGAAAAACATGGACCCAAAATTCAGAGGGTGTCTGTGGAGTCAGGCTCTATCTTTTGTCTGCTGCTACAAGAGTCGAGGCAGCACTTCACCTGTACCACAATGCTGCTCACTGTGAAATGCTCCTAGTATCAGTAAACAGTAAGAGCAGGTCTGCTTCACAAGGTGGGATGAGCTGGGGACAAAGGGTGAGGACAGCACAGGCAGAGTCCTTACCACCAAGGCACAATCCAAATCATCTGCACAGAGGACAGAGGAAGGTACTGGTAACACGATCTATGGACAGTCCTAGACAAGTCAAAGCAATCAATCAGATGCAGGGTACAGCAAGGAGTACAGAAAGGAGTAGCAGGAGACAAGTCTGGAGACAGTTACATGTCTCATACTTGAGGTAAGGACTGAATTCCTGATTCAGGTTTAAGTGAGGCCTTGGACCAGCAGTCCAAGGACGCATAGCTGTAAGCCCTAGGTGAAGCTGGTCTGAACAGTTAAGGTTTGTTGTCCACCCAGAGCCCTAAAACCTAGTGCTCTGATTTTAAAAACTTCAGAGGGGACCAGATCCTGATTTCTAGTCATTCTTCTCAGTAAAATGAGTGGACTCAAGTCTAGTTATGAGTATGGAAATTCCAGTGTCCCAGTGAAGTAATTTTTACTGCTGAATGATAACGAAAACTCATTCTCATTTCCCAGTCACTTCCAGGTCATGCTCATGAGCAGTTACAAATGTTACATCTCAGTACTTAACTTTCTCCTACATTCAGGGTGCCCAGGGGGCAGGCTGGTGAATGGCACCACATGCTCTGGCATAGTGGAGATCCGCCATGGAGACACATGGGGAAGACTCTGCCAGTCCCACTGGAATTTGCGAGCTGCCACCGTTCTCTGCCATCAGCTGAACTGTGGCTATGCAAAGTCAATCCAGATGGAAGACCATTTTGTGGATGGAAATGGACCTATATGGAGAGATGCTTTTCACTGTGAAGGGACAGAGTCCTGCCTGTGGGATTGTCCTCAACTGACTTTGGGCAATCCAGCATGTTCAGCCAAAGAAGTAGCCACTGTAATTTGCTCAGGTACATCAGGAGCAGACTTTTATGGGTAGTGCAACTTCAGACCAGAGCAGTGCTGGTGATCTTCCCACTGTACTGTACTCCCAGGTATTTGACATTGGTGAGGGCACAACTTGAGTACTGTGTTCTGTTTAGGGCCCCTCACTTTAAAAAGGACATTGAGGCACTAGAACATGTCCAGAGAAGGGCAATGAGGCTCATAAAAGGTCTAAAATATGAGGAATGGCCGAGGAAGTTTGGTTTGTTTAGCCTTGAGAAAAAGCAGCCCAAGGGTGATCTTATCACTCTCTACAACCTGAAAGGGGACTGTAGAGAGGTGGGGGATGGTCTCTTCTGCCATGCCTACAGTGAGAGCCCTGCAGGCTGAGCAGGGAAAATTCAGATTAGGTATTTGAAAATTTTCTTCACTGTTAGGGTAGTCAGGCACTGGAATAGGTTGCCCAGGGAGGAGGCAAAGTCGCCATCCCTAGAAGTGTTTAAAAGATGTTTGCATCCAGCACTGGAAGATATGGTTTAGGGTTTAGGGGTTATAGGGGAGTGACAGGTTAACGGTTGGACTTGATGATCTTAAAGGTCTCTTCCAACCTTAACCATTCTATGATTCTATGATTCTATCTCATGCTGACAAGAAAGTCTGGTATGTCAGCCTGTCTTTAACACTCTTTTTCCCCCCCACCCCTCCAACCTTGGTTTCAGCGTATGAACTTCAGTTAGTTGAGGGATTCACATTGCTTAGATGTCCCTGACTCCTTACAGGATCTAGTCTTTTTGCAGGGGAAGCCTTTCTTGCTTCCCATTGCAGACCTTTGTGTGTGTGAAAGCAAACAAAGCCTTTACAGAGGCAGTCTCCTTAATCAGTGGTGAGAAAAGAAATTTGTCTTCCATATCTCTCCTGCATGGTAGATGTTATTCAACATGTTTTCCAACTCTCTTGAGCCCAGGTCTTGCTGAATCACTCAGACTCTCAGGTGGTGAGAGCCGCTGTGATGGTCGAGTTGAGATCTCACTCCATGGTGTGTGGACCAGAGTCCTGGATGATGACTGGAACATTAAGGATGCTCATGTGGTATGCAGACATCTCCAGTGCGGAATTGCTGAGAAAGCCTATTACCTCCCAAGGTCTGAGCGAGGTATGGGTCTTGTTGGCTTAAGGAATGTCCAGTGTACTGGAAATGAGACACAGCTGATACTCTGCAAGACCTCCCATTCTCAGACCATGTCAACGGGAGTTTCTGAAGATGTTGGTGTGATTTGTTCAGGTGAGTTGCTGTGTGAAAGGTACAGCATGTTTCCTAGGGTTGGCTCCAACCCACCTTGTGCTGTGGTCTCACCAGATCTTAAATACATAAGAGTCTGAGCTTGATGATAGTTAAGGAAGCAAATGCAATTTACATAATGCTTTCTTCATCTGAATTTCTCAAATAACTTATCTTGCAGAATCCAAAAGAAATATTAGAATACAGAAGCCGTAAGAACACTAATTTGGATATGACTGTCATGCGTTCTGACTGATACTTGAGAATTACCTAGGTTTTATTTTGTGACATTTCTATATTTATAGATACCTTCAGCCTTTCAGAAGACAATTACAACTGTTTATACTCTTCTCTGATTTTGTAACCCATCTGTAACAGAAACTGCCCTGTCTTACTAAATGAGTCTAGACAGAAAACAGCTTCTCCAGCTTTCTAAGATAAGGTGATCTCTGCATATACTTAGTATGATTAGACACTCCTTGTTTGCAACATCTCACAGGAATTATTCAAACATCTACCTGATTCAGGCCTTTCCCTTCATCCAGTTTTAGCCACATAGGAGTTCTTAGCAAGAAACCATAACAGAAGAATTGGAATATAATAAGAACACAGTGTTTTAACAGTGTTTTAACTTTAAAAATGCAGCCATTATGCTGACCTCTGCATTATGGTCATGTTGCAAGTTGACAGCTGGGTTTCCTTCCTACAGGTAGCAGACAGATCAGGCTGGTGAATGGAACAAAGCGCTGTGCTGGGAGAGTAGAGCTTTATCATGATGGCATCTGGGGCACCGTCTGTGATGATAACTGGGATCTATCAGATGCTAATGTTGTTTGCAAACAGCTGGGATGTGGACATGCCATTGAGGCATTTGCCTCTGCTCATTATGGCGAAGGTTTGGGACAAATCTGGCTGGATGATGTGAATTGCACTGGGGCTGAATCTGATCTCTGGGCATGCCCCTCTAGGGCATGGGGCCAGCACAACTGTCAACATAAAGAGGATGCTGGAGTCCTGTGCTCAGGTGTGTTTGGAAAACCTTTTTCTGAGCCTGTGGGTTCAAAGGGGAGGATTACATAAAAGGGAAGCAAAGAATATAGAGACTTGCTTGGACAGCCTCCCGCTTGCTGTCTTGATTACAAGCTTATTTGGACAGCACAGAGTCTGTGCTTATTTGGACAGAGTCTACACTACGAAAGTGTGTGGTGGGGTTGGTATTTGTGGGGTAAATTGGAAGGTTTTGTAAAGATTTCCACAGCAATGGACTGTGTGCCTGTTACAGTCAGTTACAACTGGCTCTGAACCTAATTGAAACAACTCACTGTGCACCAAAGCATCGGACAATCCAAGGAGCTTATGGTAGTTCTGTTCATGTATATTTAAGACAGAGTGGTAGCTGCAAAATAAAGGAGAAATGAAAGAGAAGTGATGGGGACATGGCTGGAGACATGTTTCCATACCAGAGGAGGTACGTCTCTGAGAGGGCTGTGGCCTGTGGATAAGCCACACTGGAACTCCTGAAGGGACTGCAGATTGTGCATTCATGCTCAGCAATACAGGTAGAAACAATACAGGTAGTTAGCACTGTTTAAAAAAATGTTATACACACCAGCCAGAAGGAAAAGCATCATAAAGAATTTGTGGCACTGAGCATCTCAAAAGATGAGAGATGCTGTTGGCACTCTGAATCAGAGCCACAAAGGAGCAGAAAACAACTACTCCCCTCTAAAGGAAGAAGTCCTAGTTGCATATGCAGAAGGCGTCTGAGTGCAGACAGATCGCTTTAGCTATGCCCTAGACTAGCTGTCCTGAATTTTTGGTTCAAGGATTCAATACCACTGTGGGAAGAGCAACCACAACTACATGGCAAAAATGGCTACTGGCCCTTTGTCAGTCTGCACATATTGATTCAAGCTCCAAATCAGGATTAGCTGAATTTACTAAGTCAATGGCCAGCAATCAATAGTATGAGGAAGAACAAACACCTTGGACTGTCAAAGACCTAGCATATGATAATTCATATCTGGATTTCACTCATCACAGCCAAGTTCCTAGCAGAATCAGGCCACTCTAATTCCATTTTTATGTCTTCACTTCCAGAGTTCCTGGCTCTGAGGCTGGTGAACGGCAGTGACTGTGCTGGGCGTCTAGAAGTTTTCTACAATGGGACATGGGGGAGTATTTGCTCCAATCATATGTCTCAACTCACTGCAATAACTGTATGCAAACACCTGAACTGTGGAGATGGAGGAGCAATTGCAACAGACTTCAAATATGGTAGAGGTTTCGGGCCAACATGGCTGGACCACATCAAGTGTACTAAGCAGCACAGCTCGTTTTGGCAATGTCAGTCAGACCCATGGGATCCTCAATCATGTAACAACCGAGCAGAAGAGACCCATATTTCTTGCACTGGTAATAAAATTTCATCTGTACAGGACTGTCCAGACACATATATGCATGCATATATGGATATTGCAGCAATTTCCTCATGTTCATTTGTTATCTGATATATGTTATTTCTAGTTTCATGCAAACGCCAGCAACATTTTTGTTTGTCTAATCTTTGACGTAAATGAGTGAACTAAAATTACGTGTGTGTCACCAAGTGCATTTACTTGGTGGAAATCCTATAGAATTCCCCAATAGGATGGTGCCATTGCTTACTTTTTGAGCAAAACTCTATGATATTTAGTGAGCCTGTGAGATCTGAGTTAAGATCAGCCTTCTCAAGAGGTCTAGAGGCAGGTATGTGTCTCTACATGTTTGGAGGCATATCAGTGCAAATGTGCATGTACACATGTGCATGCATACATACATGGACAAGTGTACAAATCAGTTTGGTTCTAAAGGTCCATTTCTAACACCTGCTATTATGACAGCATTTCATACCTATGGGTATGAATATCTATATTCATATATATTCACAATAATATAAATTAATTCTAGGTGACGTTCAGATATCTTGAAAAGGATTGCAGCTGCCTCATGTGAGAAGAAAACATAGCCATCAGGAAGACTATTTCACTCACAGCAATAGCCAAATGGCAACCCACCAAGAACTAAACAGCCTGCATATGTATTTTAGGAAAAAATTTACTTGATGGTTATTTTTCAGGCATTTTATACTTACTATCTTTTTTTTTCCCAAGAAAAATTAGATTATTTACTCCATTATTTAAATTCTGCAGGTAGAAAAGAGGCAATGCTTCCAGCTGCATTTGCTAAGTGTCCAAACTCTACAAGTTGTTCAGGTACATCTACCTTTTTATTTTTGCTTATTAGTCCCTGTGGACCTCCCTGATGTTTCAGTAAAACAGAAGGTTTATGTGTTTTGCAGACAGAGAGAAGTTACAACTCACAGGAGGAGAGGATAGATGTTCAGGGAGAGTGGAGATTTGGCACCAAGGTTCCTGGGGAACAGTCTGTGATGATGCCTGGGACATGGCAGATGCTGATGTTGTATGCAGGCAGCTGGGCTGTGGATCTGCGGTGTCTGCTCTGAGTGAAGCTGCCTTCGGGGAAGGGACTGGTCCCATCTGGCTGGAGAAGGTGCACTGTAAAGGAACAGAGCTGTCTCTTTGGGACTGTCCTGCCAAGCTTTTGCTTGACAAAAACTGTGATCATAAGGAAGATGCTGCTGTGAATTGCTCTGGTTAGTGACTGGTCCTTTATTACACAGACCTGGGAAGGAGGTGGATAGAGGAGCACTATGTCAGCTGTACTTCCCAGTGACTAGCCCTTTCATAATTTTGACTGCAGGAACCTCACAAGCGATATGATGTTCTCCCTATTTTTTACACTTCTGTCTTCCTTAATCTGGACTCATCTTCCTTTTGCAGGTATGACAGAAACAACATTATCACCCACTAGAGCAGGTAAATTCCTTCTTCCTTCTTCCCTATTCCTTTCTCCTATCAAATGAAGATTTAATGCCCCTGACATTGCCTAGCCAGAAAATTGGCAGTATATTTCAGCTCATCAGAAAGCATCTCCCACAGCCTTTTATAAAGGAAAACAGAGTGGCACTATCCCCAGCTGCCAAATTCTATCTGCTTAAGCAGGACAGCAGGTCCTGGGCAGCAGGTGACCTGCCTCATTCTTATTGCATGGGCATAGCAGTAGGCTACAGAGGAACAGCCCTTTGGGACAGCTGATTCTCTACCTGACCCTTCTTCATTTCCATTCAGACCCTCCCCGACGCCCTGCAAGAGACAGTACGAGACTTTCAACACCTGTCATCTTCTGCATTATCTTGGGGACCCTGCTCTGCCTGGTACTTGCCATTCTTGCTGGACAGATCAGAAGTGCCAGGGTACAGCAGAGAGGTGGGTGCCTCAGGACTGGTATGAAATGCCCCCTTGACACGGCTGGCGAGTGTTTAGCTGTCTGGGGAGGCTAGTGTTGGGTAACTGAGATACACCACATCTGCTGCCACACTGAGATTTTCACTTGCTGTCTGGCAGTGAAAGAGCCCAGCAGTGCTTATCCTCGGTCAGTGCCTCTTGGTGGCTTTCTAGGTACCAACCAGGCGATGTAGACCCCTTTAGGTAACTTTTTTCATGACCCTAGTCTGAATATAAGCAGAAACTGTGTGAGTGATCATTACCTTTTACTTTCAGGCTCCAGATTATCCTACGACCCCTTTTCTGAGGCTGTCTATGAAGAGATTGACTATAACCTGATGAGGGAAAAGCAGGGCATGACTTTCCTCTCAGGTTTGTGTGTCTTGCTCTCCTCAAGGGAAAGCTCCTCCTGGTGGTACTGATCTCGATCTGACACTTTCCATCTCCCAAATCTACTGAGAAACTAAAAATTCCTAGATTTGAGGAGAGGCGTTTCCTGCCCAGTAGACTCTGCCAATTCCTCTCCTAGGAACAATTAATTTTGTGCTGTCCTCACTGCAGCCATAGGCCATAGATCAATATAGGCCAAACAAACAAACAAAAGGCTCTTGTTGCAATTATTTAAAGCAAGGACAAATTAAGGAATAATTTGTATCTCCCTCCCAGCAACTGTCTCCTTGTAGGCTTCCTTCTGTTGATTGCTTTTCTCCCTTCGTGGCTGATCTCCTCTATGAGCGATGAGAGGTGTTATGGGGCCCCTGAGACATTGGCTATTCCATTGTAAGCCTTGCAGGAGTAATACTGACTGCCCAAGAATCTGTGTACTTGGATGGCATTTCTTCAACCTGCTCTTTCTCTCATGATGCAGCCTTAGAAGATAAGGAGATTTTAATCTGATATCATACTCTTTCTCATTTGCCTAGATTCTTATTCAGAGAGTTCAAAGGGGAAAACACAGTTTAATAGAGGAGACAGTGATGAAGAAAATGGCCCTGGAGCAACACAAGGTAATGAAAGATGGGGATCTACAAAGAAAGAGACCCCTAATTTTTAATTTCCAAGCATTATTATTGATTAAAACTTTTTTTAGTGTTGCACTTGATGTGCTAGTGCTGTTTTGATGTGAACCAAATTTTTCTGTTTAAGTCTTGTGGTGGAAGAATGTCATACAGTCTCATATACAAGTGCTAGTTTTCTCTTTTATATGAAAAGTTCAAAATAAATGTTTGCTGGTAGTACTGCATACTTCACAGGATCCAGTCACATGAATCCAACAATTGACAACTGCTTCTCTCAGAAATTGCAATTGTAATAGCTTGTAAGCTGTAGCTTTATTTCTGAGAAAAACAGGGAGAATTAAGAAAGAGGAAAGACATGCTCCAAAGAGGAACATTGGCATATGCTTGGAGTTGATTAGGGAATTTTAATACAAGTGATCTAAAGAAAATGCAGTTTCCCAGTTGTGGGGTTTTTTCTTTTAAATTTGAAATAGCTGAGGGAGAGCAAGGGTTTGAAGAAGGACTGCGTTTTTCTAGAGCTGACAAAAAAAGCTCTCTTAGCTATTGCCTGGTATCCAAGATATCAACTCTTAAAAGTACAAGCAGTTTTGGACCTTAGCTCCCCATATTCCAGACTCTCTGCAGCACCATGTCTTTAATTTTATCTATTGTTTCTCTTATATTAAGGGTTTGGGGGTTTTTAGTTTAAATTAAACTAAAAGGTTTTTTCCTTACTTTTCTTGAAATGCTTATCAAGAAGATAACTATTCCAAATAGGATCTCTTTTTTGTATTCAGAGTGACTATTGATTATTAGGTAAAAAGTGAAACAGAAGTGCTTTGATTTATGTTTATGTATGTCTTATATTTAAGTATATGTATATACCATCAAACTGTGAAAAGTTACATCATCTGAGCAATGGATTCCAGTTAAGTACAGACATGTCAGTATTAAGGCCCCGTATTGCTAGATCATCAGCTACTGCTTTCTCTAGTGGGAGATCTCTCCCCATTATAATTAATACCTGTACTATTGCAGCGATCTCTTCACTGCCTGAAAATGCCCTGGAAGATGGTTATGATGATGCAACAGATGCTCCTGGACCTAAAGATGAATCTCTTTCTGAGCAGAATGAACAGGAAATCATTGGGATCCCTGAAGAAAGTGACAGAAACAAGGGTTCACAGACAGGTGAGGCCAGAAGAGCAATGCTGTTAGTTTCCATCATCTATAGCTGCCGTACTGAACTCAGTGAAAATCAAGGTGGAGGGTACTTCAAGGGATTACCTAGGTTTTATCTAACCACTGTCAGGAAGTAATACTACCTATCTACACAGAGTGTAGGTTGGATGTTTTCTATTCTGTTCTTACAGCCAGATAATCTATACCCATGCTCTTCTTTCATTACAGCCTGTGGCCAACTCAACCTACTTGTTTCTGGTAATCAGACACACACGCACATCCCACACACACCTCCATGCACACAAACACTGTACTTCCACCAGTAACGGCCTTAGGTGGTCTCTCCAGTAACTGGTCCTGGGACCACTGGCTTTCTTGTTACTTCACACACCCATATGCATACCAAACACCCACATATATGCACATTGTGTGCCCCAGTAACTGGGGGCTGATATCTGGGTGTGTGAGCCCCTGACACCTAGAGTCCCACCCTTGCTGGTGGCACTTAAGGGTGCTGTCCCATCCAGTTGATCCAGTTGCAGGCACCACAAATCTCTCTGATCCATGGCCCAGCTCTGGCTGCTGGCACTAAAACCTCCATACACACACACACACACACACACACACAGAGAGAGAGACAGAGAGAGAGAGAGAGAGAGAGAGAGAGAGAGAGAGAGAGAGAGCAGAGAGCTCCCTTAGTCAGGAAGTTAGTTATGGAGCTTGAAAGGAGACTGGACTGATGCTGCTGTTCAGATGCAGGGAAGGCCAAACATCCATACTGGCCACAGCCCGCTTACATGCCACCAAGCCCTTTAACCCCCTAATTGTTTCATTTTCTCATGTTTGTTTCTCCCCAGACTACATCAATCCCTTCTTCTTTGTGCTTTTCTTTCCTCCCCTAAACAGCCCATAATAAATTACCTATAATCCCAAGATGTTCTTCCCCAGTATCTCATATTTTTGTGAATGAATGGACAAGGACAAATCTAATAAATTTTCAATGTGTCAGATAACACATGAGGCAGTAAAACAGAGTTGGGTTATTTATGTATCTTGAAGAATTGCTTTTATTAGAAGTGTTTAAAATTAGGTCAGTAACCTCTTTTCTGGGAACACCAAGCTTGATCCTTGGATATGTGTACATGTAGCAGAAGGCAGAATGACATACACCTTTCTCAGATCTTTCACAGCCATGCGTATCTAAGGTTCTAATTTCTGAAGGAGACAGCTTACAGCTGCACAAACCTTATAAAGGTAATAGATACAGGATGTGCATTTATCTATCTCAGAGTTCTTCCTGTTTTCAGACTGGAGTCCTAGTGTGTTCCAAAATAGGACCTTTGAGGCTGAGAAACCTTCATCCCTGGCTCTTGAAGACACAGGCTATGATGACATTGAAGAGCTGGGACACTGATGGAGACTGCTGAGCTATACTGACCACTTTTGGAAATATACCTCTGTTCAAAAAAAATGCTAATCTGGTACCAGCAGAACTAGAACAACCCACATTTAGGATTAGTTTACCTAATTTGGTTCATTTGTAGAGAAACAATTACATACTAAGATGATAAACAAGCATAACTGTTAAGAAAATCTTACAAATTTTGCTTAGAATTTCTTCTTGCCAAGACTGCCTGGACACTTTTTGCTTTTATTTCTAAATAATTTCATTGTAATTATTTTTCTACTGAGTTAATGTTTTAAATTATGATATTTTCTTATTAGAAACTGTTTAAAGCTCTCTTCTCAAATTCATGCTTTTCCTCCCAGATACATAGGACAGCTACCTGGATATTATTAGGAATGGAGACTGAACTGCAAGAAAATCACAAAGTTCTGTTTCAAGTTTTGGATATTCTTCCTTACCACAGGACCTATTAAATCAGAAACAACTATTTATTCATTGAGGCTAATGAGCAGAAAATCAAGAGAATCAGGCTAATGTTTAGCTCATTACAATCTTCAAAATTTTTGACAAAAACAGGTACAAAAGGGAATTGTTTGTGAGTGGTGTTACAGGCAGCACAGCTTGATGCAATCTGTATAGATGCCTGTGGTGTTGTCCTCTGTGCGTGTGTGTGTGTGTGCAAATATATCTCTCTGGGACACACACTCAGCCTCACTACTGTCTGAA